TTTGTGCTAAAACTTGTTCAGATCCAGTCAAATATTAGTTTCATTGAAATTACTGAGCTCATCTTCCCACGACTGCAGAAGCACCGGTCCGAACATGAGCAGGTCAAAGTGAGAATACTGAACCAGGACAACATTCAAACATAAACTCGTAAAATCATACTTTTGGCTTAAAAACACTGAGGAAAATACTGGAAGAAAGTCCGCAGCACGTGAACACAGTGGTACAAACAGGGTTTCTTTCAAAGGCGCCGGAGCGAGAGCCGGCCGAGCGTGCGGCACACACGGCGAGGGAGTCGTCAGTGGACCGACGAGCAGATCAGTAGACATTTGTTTTGCATTACAAACATTTTTGTAGGGCTTCACATTTTCTTCATATGCAACAATTTATACAAGAAGGGAAAAGAAGAGAATAACATGATAAAAAGCACCGCGGGTTAAAGATGCAGGAACTCTACTCATAAGTACAACAGTCGTCTCAACTGTGACGTAGCGTTAAGGACATACTGAGTGTAAATAGGCTGCTTTGCATATACGACAAAATACTTTGAAGGTTTAGTGATTAAACTGGGATTAAATCGGGGGTAGCACCAGTTTTCGGCATCTCTAACCTGAGAATATTGTGTGAGACAAGAAATGGCGACCGCCTTTCCATCTACTTCCCTGTCCTGCGATTTATCGTCGAGCGGGAGGAGCAGGACGGCAAACGGCGGCTGGTCGCGGCTCTTCAGGAGCCTCGGCGCAGGGAGGAAGGAGAGGCCGGCCCGTCTCACGCCCGCCTGTCCGCTCATCCATCCGGCGGGTCAGAAATAAATCCACGTAGTGACAGCGGCTCGTCGCCGGAGGATTTCAAAGCGAGCCTGGCGCCGCTGGGTGCAACAAACAGGAAACAAAATAAAATCCGTCCCCGGGTCGAAGAAAACGAAAAACTGAGACGAGGCTGTTGGGTCTGTCGAGGTCATTGGCGGCGGTGGAGCCGCGCGATTTCACGAGTCTCGTGTCCTCTCCATGCGTCTGATTGCGAGCGTGTGACGTTCAGACGCCAGAGGGCGTGTTTGCGGGGGTCCTGAGGGTCGTTACGGGCGGCGGGCGGCCGCCGTCTGCTGCTCGAGGCACACCGGGCAGCAGCTGCCTTTTAGCTTGACGGGGCGTTTGCACTCGGTCGCTGGGCAGGACTCCACGAAGCAGGTCACCTGGGCGTCCTGTCGGGAAAACACAACAAGGGCGACAAGTCATGACGTCGTTACATCGTTACGTCATTACGTCGTTACGTGTGAGATCTGAGGCCAAAAACACCAAAACGGGAAAGAAAACTTAAACTGTTAAATAAGAAGTGACATCATTTAGCTCAGGTGCTCAACAGCCAATCACACGGCTGCAAACCAGGGCAGGTAGATATGATCACGTTCAAACCCAGGTTTGATTTTGGGTTCTGTGTGTTTGCTTGTGACAATAACACTGACACCATGTGACTCAGCCGGTCGCTCCGCCTCCTGCGCCAGGACCACCTGACCTGGGACTGACCTGCCCGTCATGCAGGATCACGACCCTGCTTGGATTCAC